TAGCCATCATTATTGTTTTGGTGGGCCCAGGCTGGACTTGAACCCACCACCTCAGGTGTATGTGGCTAGTGCCTTAGCCACCTGAGCCACAGGGACCGAGCCAGTGTGGTCATTTTAGAGATGGTGGGGTGGGGAGTTGGGGAGGTGTTCTCACTGTTCCTTGGGCCAAATATGTGAGCTCAAGTAGTCCATCTGCCTTGGCCTCCCAGAGTGCTGGGATTACAGGCGTGAGCCACCATGCCCAGACATTTAATGTTTTTTCATTTTTAAATAAGGTAGCTTTTTTAGGTGAATACTCTTACAATGCACTTAGACTTATGTTCAGGTAAATGGTGATGTGTTATTACGTAATGACATCTGGATGTCAGTTCTGGCTTTACTACTTAGGACTTCTATGACCTTGATCAAGAAGTTTATCTTTTCTGGACCTCACGGTCCATAATTTTACATTGTCATATAGGTCCCTCCATCTCTGTTCATTTTTCTTCAATCTTTCTTTCTTTTTTTTTTTTTTGAGACAGTCTCACTGTGCCCAGGCTTGAGTGCCATGGCATCAGTCTAGCTCACAGCAACCCATCAGGCTCCTGAGTTTAAGTGAGCTTCTCACCTTAGCCTCCAAAGTAGCTGGACTTCAAGTGCTGACTACAATGCCCAGCTAATTTTTTTTCTATTTTTTTTTTTGTGTGTGTGGGGGGTGTTTATTGCTCTTGCTTGGGCTGATCTTAAACTCCTGAGCTCAAGGGATCCTCCTGTCTCAGTTCCCAGAGTACTAGGATTATGGGCACAAGTCAGTATACCCAGCCTGATGGTTAATTTCTACTGGCTGTGGGTCACATTATCTTGTTTCTCTGCTAGTCTAAATAACTTTTTATTATATAGAGGACATTATATGTGAACTCTTATAGGGACTCTAGATGGTTATCTCCCTCTGAATTGTTGATGGTTCAGTTGCCTGCTGATCTTATTGATCTTATTTAGACTTGGTTTTATGCTTTGGTAGGGAGGATCTATTGATAGCCCAAGGTGTTTCTCAAGTCTCTAACTTGATGGTATTCAACCTCTAAACTCTGTCTCCCTGTGGATCTCATCAGAAATTGATTTTAGGGCCTGTTCCTTCCTCAGCTCCGTATTTAATGTCTGGGAGGTAGTATACCAAGATGCTAAGTAGGTCTTTGCATTCTGGCTAGACTAAATCCAACCTCCTCTTATGTTGCTGTACATTGTACCAGTGTCTTTGTTCATCTCTCAATTCTAAAGCAGCTACCCTGGTACATTTTAGGCAGTGTTCCCTCATGTATGCAGCCCAGCCCACTGTAGTTCATTTCTCTCTGGCACGCTGCCTTTCAGATTCCAGCCACTTGAACTGCCCTGCGCTCTGAGGTTTGCCTCCCTATCTCAGCAGGCCTGTCCTCCATTTGGACCTAGCATACTGAATCCTAGTCACCTGGATCACCTAAGCAAAGAGCTGTGATCATGAGGCTCAATTTGTGACTCTCCCTCCTCTTGGGAATCGTGGTCTTATGCTGTTCCTTGTCCAGCACCTGAGAAAAAGTTATCTTATATTTTCCCCAACTTTAAGGTTCACCTGGGTATCAGACTCACAGACAAATGAGAAAGTTACATTTCTTATTTTTATTTTTTTATATATATATTTATATATATATATATATATACTTTTTCTTTTTTGAGATAGAGCTTCACTGTGTCACCCTCAATATGAGTGCTGTGGCGTCATAGCTCACAGCAACCTCAAACTCTTGGGCTTAAGCAATTCACTTGCCTCAGCCTTCCAAGTCACTAGGACTACAGGCACCCGCCACAACACCTGGCTATTTTCTTGTTGGATTTGTCATTGTTGTTTAGCTGGCCCAGGCCGGGCTCGAACCTACCCTCCTGGGTGCATGTGGCTGGTGCTATAAGCACTGTGCTATAGGCCCCCAGCCTATTTTTTTATTTAAAAATTTTTTTCATGTCAGATGGGAAATGTGCCAACAACATAACAAGGTTTGAGGGAGCCATATTGCTCTCATGAGCATGAAACCTCAGTGATCATGCTTGTGGACTACAAAAGGATCAAATTTCTTATTTTTAATGTGGGATAATAAAACCTTTCTCACAAGGTTATTAAGGTTAAGAGTAATAGATAAAAATGTTTCCTAGCCTGTGCATGGTCTTTTGAATTAATAAACATTATATAAATGCTAGTGGGATTGAATAAGATGCCCTACTGCTTGTAGTAATGGATAGTATTTTAGCTTAATTTTTTTAAGTAGTCATTTTCAAGGACTTGTTGCCTTGAGCCAAGCTAGAAAAAAAATCCTGAGATACTTAGACATCTAGTTAAAGAGCTTTCTCTTCTACCCAAGCTGCTAAAGCAAGCTGTTAAGAAATACATATGAAGAAGTGGGAGGCAGAAGAGGATCAGCTTCCATTCTACAGTTTATTGGAAGAACTGATCTGAGAGAACCATGGTCCTAGCAGGTTTATTTGAAGCTGAAACATGGGGCTGTCTGTGAACCTACAGTAACAAGCAAATAGGCCAAGCCTCCCAGCATTGGCTTAGGCCTATCTGGATTAAGTGTCTGGCTTTACTCTCCTTTTTATTATTTATTTATTTATTTTTGCAGTTTTTGGCCGGGGCTAGGTTTGAACCTGCCACCTCATATATATGGGGCCAGTGCCCTACTGCTTTGAGCCATAGGCACCACCCTTTACTTTCCTTTTCAGTATCTGCAGTTAGCAAGTTAGATTCTGGCTTTTGATCTCCAATGTATTGATTAAATTAACAGAATTGAAAGTAAAGTACTATGTGACTTTTGAAATCTATATGGTCCGAACATTTGCCTTAAATGAAATTCAGAAGCCTGAGTTAAAATTAAATCAAAGACTTAAATGCTAGAATGACTATCAGTAGGCAATTCTAAATTACCATCATTACCACATTAGAAAAATTTCTTTTCTTTTTTTTTTTATTTTTTGAGACAGAGTCTTACTCTGTTGCCCTGGGTAGAGTACCATGGCATCATAGCTCACAGCAACCTCAAACTCTTAGACTTGACCAATCCTCTTGCCAAGGCCTCTCACATAGCTGGGACTACAGGCATCCACCACTACACCTGGCTAGTTTTTCTATTTTTAGTAGAGATAGAGTCTTGTTTTTGGTCAGGGTGGTCTCAAACTCCTGAACTCAGGCAATCTACCTGCCTTGGCCTCCCAGAGTACTATTATTAAAAGTGTGAGCCACCTATTCTGGCCCTGAATGATCCTTTTTTGTTGGAGAAATTCAGAACCCAGATGTTTGGAGCTATGTAATCAGTAGTTAATATGGATTTATATTCAAATATGTTTCATTTCTTGGTAACCTGGTAGTTCAGTGTTCTAGCATGAATCTTCTCTCTCTTTTCCGTGAATTCTTGATGGTGATTGGTTCATAAAGAATCTTAAGCTTTAGGGATGAAAGGTGACAGAGTTCTGTCCCCCCAAAATTCACAGGTCTACTTGGGTAGAAGCTATTCAGGTACTACATAAAGTCCTGCGTACTTGGCTATAGTATTCTGTGTGAGTAGAGCCCTCAGAATTGTGTGCCAGGTTGGGCCCAGAAGACTGATATGTAGATGTGTGTACCAAGAATAGTAGTGGTTTCTTTCCTTTATAGACTCTTCTTCTGAATTTGCCTGTGTGATAGACAAGTCCACACATTTTCTTTTTTTTTTTTTTGAGACAGAGTTTCACTTTGTTACCCTCAGTAGAGAACTATGGCATCATAGCTCACAGCAACCTCCAACTGTTTGGGCTCAGGCAATTCTCTTGTTTCAGCCTCCCAAGTAGCTGGGACTACAGGTGCCCGCTACAATGCCTGGCTATTTTTGAGAGACGAGGTCTTCCTCTGGCTCAGGCTGGTCTCGAACCTGTGAGCTCAGGCAGTCCACCCACTTTAGCCTCCCAGAGTGCTGGGATTACAGGCATGAGCCACTACGCCAGGCCCACCTTTCAGGTTTTTTTTGAGACAGAGCCTCAAACTGTCCCCCTGGGTAGAGTGCTGTGCCATCACAGCTCACAGCAACCTCCAACTCCTG